GTAGTAAGACAAAATATTGTTCTTATGGGGAAATCCAAATGTCTGGCTGGGGCAGGAGAAGGGTAAAGAGGTTAAAGTAGAGAATAGGTCAGAGTTTGTGAGATGAGAAAAAGCTACTGACTCGTGGGGCTGTTCTCTTGTAGAATGGCGGGGATGGGACCGATGCAGGTGTGCAAGGCCACCATGCTATCCTCCGAAGGTCGCAGAGCTACATCCCTACTTCAGGCTGCCGAGCCCCAGCGGGGCCACCGCTCCTTAAAAGCGGCTATTGTGTGAAACAGGGAAATGTGGTAAGTGCCAACGTTGGACCTAGGGCCAATCTCTGGCATTCAAAGCCCTTCATTACCTAGCCCTTCCTAGGGCTTGCTCCCCAGTACATACTCTTCAATTCAATGATATGGGCCTCCTGGCCTTTCCATAAACAGGACATTCCTTCTCTTGGCTCCAGGCATTTTCTCTAGCTGTCCCCAATGTCTGGAATGCTTTGCCTCCTCCACTCTGACTACTGACCTCCATGGCTTCTGCTAAGCCCCAACTAAAATCCCACCTTCTACAGGAAGCCTTCCCTAATACCTTTTAATTCCAATACTTTCCCATTTATCCTGTATATAGTTTGCTTTGTAGATATTTCTTTGCTTGTTGTCTCCTCCATTAGATTGTAAATTCCTTAAGGGCAGGGACTATCTCTTGCCTAACACTTAGCACAATGCCTGACACTAGTAGGCACTTAATAAATGTTCATTGAATTGAATTGCTGGATTGTACAGACTTGTGGGGAGAGATAAAAATTATGCTAGGATGAGATGTCAACCTATTTAAAACTATTTCTTTACCCAAAATGTTCAGAGTATTAGGCCTACAATCTAAAAGGCCAATATCCCTTGGAAGATTAAGGATTCTTCTTTTTCCTTCTCTTCCCCATCTTCCTCCTCCTCCTCCTCACCCTCACATTTGTGTAGCCCTTTAAGGTTTATATCCACCATCTTGTTTTAGAGTCGAAACACTCCTGTGAGCTTGGCCATAATAATAGTAATTATAGTAACATTTATAATCTTATATTATGCATGTAATTATGATATTATATATAATTATTAGCTATCACAATAGCTAACATTGGTATAACCCATTAAGACTCAAGGCAAAATATATAATTTCATTTCATCCTCATGATGGCTTGCAAGTACTAGTATTATTTTCATTTTACATATTAGGAAACTGAGGCTCAGACAGGTATAAAGTGGCTTGCCTAAGGTTACAAAGCTAGTAAATGACAAGACTTGCTACTTCAAATATTACGCCATATAACATTGTTATCTTAGATCCTGTCACCCCAGGATGGGATAATATCCCTGGAGGGAGCTATATACAAAGAGACATCCATCTCTCTTCTGTTTCAGAGAAAGAACTGGAAACGTCGTTTCTTTACTCTTGATGATTTCTCCCTCTCCTACTTCAAGTGTGAACAGGTGAGTAGTGATAGCTCTGGGACCCAGCAACAGAATCCTTCAGCCTTTTGGGTACATTTGTACCTACATAAATTTATGGGTACATGGGTTACACTCACACCATCATCACAGACATAAATGTAGAGATTTGCCCCACTTTGTCAGGTGCCCCTCTAATGCACAGATTTCTATCCCTAGTCTCCTTTCCTTCTCAAAGTTACAAAGGGTGCATGTTTTGTTTGCTTTCTTCTCAAATTTCCCATCCGTGTAAGGAATTCATGTGCTCATAGGATTTAGAGCTGGAAAGAATTATAAAGATCATGTCCAACTTTTCCATTTAACAAATGAGAAAACTGAGGCGAGAGAGTGAAATGACTTGCTCCAGGTCACACAGGTCTGAATTCTAGCCATCTCTGAGGCCATATTCATGGTTGATTTTGCACTTTCTTGCTTTTCATCCTACATAGATTTGGAGATCTCTGCCACCAAATCAGAACAAATTCTGAGTGACCCTGTGTAAGGAAGGGGAGAAAGGTGTCAGTTTGTTCTTGGGTAGAGATAGATGGACTTACCCCACCTTACTCTGTCTCTCTTCCCAGGACAGAGAGCCTCTTCGAACCATCCTTCTGAAAGATGTACTCAAGACTCATGAGTGTCTGGTCAAATCTGGGTAACTATTAATTCTGCTTGATTCTTTGCTGTTGGAGGAGAATGGTGCAGATAGAAGCCAAATGATGAAGAGTGAGTGGGTGGTAAGGAAGTGGAGGTAGCAAAGTGTAGTCTATTCTTACTAATGTTTAACAGTGAAGAGCAAGAAAGTGAAAGTAAAAACGGCTGCTTGAAGAAATGTCAGGGTCAAGGGAAGGTTGGTTTGTTTTCTTGTTTTTGGTTTTTTTTTTTTTCTGATGAGGGAAAAACACCTTAATGAATACCTGTCTAAACATTCCTTCTCAGTTGCCTTTGCTGGATCTTTATGCAGGTAGCTGGACACCCACTAATGTTGGGTGTCCCTTAAGACTCTGTCCTAAGTCATCTTTTCTTCTTCCTCCATACTCTTTCACTTGGTGATCTTATCAGCTCCCATGGATTCAATAATCTCCATGTAGAGGATTCTCAGATCTACTTCTCCAGCCCTAACCTCCCTACTAACCTCCACTCTCACACCTGCAACTGCCTATTTGACATATTTTTTTTATTAATTTATTTTGATTTATCAAAAATCATTTCCATAAGCTTTTGAGTTTAAAATTTTTCTCCCTCTCCCTTCCCACCTCCCCCCCCCAAGATGGTGCACAATCTGATATAGTGCCTATTTGACATCTTGAAATGGATGTCTCATAGGCACCTCAAACTTACCTAAGCCCTCCCCTCTTCTTAACTTTCCTTTTACTGTTGAAGATACCATCATCCTCCCAATCACCCAGGCTTAAAACCTCGGTATAATCCTTGAATCCTCACTCTTCTAATCCATAACCAATCTGTTACAAATTCCTGTCAGTTCTACCTTCGAACATCTCTTCTGTATGTTCCCTTATCTCCTCTGACACTGACATCATCATAGTGCGAGCCCTCGTCACCTCCCAACCGGACTATTGCAATAGTCTCCTGTTGATCTCCCTGACTTGTGTCTATCCCCTCCTCCACTCAACTGTCAAAATGATATTCCTAAAGGAAAGGTCTGACCTATGGCTCCAAGAAGCTGTAGCAGCCATACCCAGTAAAATCTTCTCAGCAGACTGGCTAAACAGATTGAGGGTAACCAACAGGTCTCAAACCAGTTGGTGAGTTAGAGGGGTGTTTACTCCAAGCATGTGAAGACTTCTCCTGGCAAAATGGGAGGATGAGAATAATCTGTTCCAATGGCCATGAAGGAGGCTGAAGTAGGCACTGTGGAACACTTAGACCTTGGTCGGACATCAAAGACACCAAAGTCATCTATTATATCCCAGACCATCACCAGTCATCCTAACTTTTGTTTTGACACTAGACTTAGATGACTCTGGAAGAGGGAATGAGGTAGATGACTTTATGCAACTTTGCCTCACTTAAATCCAATTCATGCCAAAGTCAAGATATCACCCATGATGTCATTGGTCCCCTTCAAAAATGAAGAACCAACAACCACAACTTCCTAAAGTACAGTTCTGACCATGTCATCCTGTATTTGATAAACTCCAATAGCTCCCATCATTTCTAGGATCAAATATAAAATCCTCTGTTTGGCCTTTAAAAGCCCTAATAACCTGACCCCCTCCTATCTTTCCCATCTTCTTAGGCCTTACTGTTCTCCAAGCACTGTGTGATCCACTGACACTGGCCTCCTTGCCATTCCTCAAACAAGATACTCTGTCTCCCAATTCTGGGCATTTTCACTGACTGACTATTCCCCATGCCTGAAATTCTCTCCCTCCTCATTTCTGACTCCTGGCCACCCTCATTTCCTTCAAGTCCCCCTCAAATCCCACCTTCTACAAGAAGCCTTTCTCGATTCCCCTCAATTCCCCTAGGGCCTTCCCTCTAATGATTATCTTTATCTGCATATATTTTGTTTGTACATAGTTTGCATGTTTGTTGTCTTCTCATTCTATGAGCTTCTTGAGAGGAAAAATTGTTTTTTGTTTTTCTTTGTACCCCCTACTATTAGCATTGCGCCTGGCCCATAGCAGGCACTTAATACATGCTTGTTGACTGACTGAGTAAAGTGAGGTAACTCAAGGATTCCTGTTATATCCTAATCCAAGAAAAGTTGGCTTCTGTGGAGTAAAAGGGCTCAGAATCCAGAGAGGGTATGTTTTGGTGGGCACTATGCTGCCAGTACAATTAATTTCAATTCAACACACATTAAGTACCTACTGTGTGCAGAGTACCAAGCTAGGCAATAGGGGATTCTGGTACCATGGAAAGACCATTGGCTCTGAAGCCAAAGGACTTTGGTTAAAATCCCACCTTCTGACAATTACTACCTTTGTGACCTCAGACAAGTTACTTAAATTTCCCTTTGCCCTTTTTCCTTATCCAAAATATGAGGAAGTTGGATTAGATGGGGCTTTGCCATGTTTAGTAGCTAATAATGTACAATGTCTTCTTGTTATTCTTTGATCGTTTTCTGTTTTGTCTGAGTCTTCGTGACCCCATTTAGGATTTTCTTGGCAAAAAAGACTAAAGAGGTTTGCCATTTTCTTCTCCAGCTCATTTTACAAATGAGGAAACTGAGGCAGACAGGGTTAAGTGACTTGCCCAGGATCACAGAGCTACTAAGTGTCTGAGGCCAGATTTGAACTCAGGAAGATGAGTCTTCCTGACTCTGGGGCTGGTGCTCTATGCACTATGGTTACACTGTTTTTGTTAGATGTATTCACCCACCCCTGTCCAAAACCTTAGTGTTTGACTCTTTCCTGTCCTGAATACTTGTGTCTAATTGGTTATGGAGTCCTGTTATTCTAACTCTATAATATCTCTCTTTCCCTCCTATTGTCATAACCTCAGTGTAAGTTCTTAATACAACCCACATGGATGACTTCACTTGTAATACTTCCTTAATAGAGGGGGCCCCCTCGGCATCCTGGGTCATCTCCAGTTGTTCTGATTTATATCTGGCCACTGGACCCAGATGGCTCCGGAGGAGAAAGTGAGGCTGGTGACTTCGCCCCGCCCTCCCTCACTTAAATCTAATTCACTTGCACATCATGGCATCATCTTCCTGATGTCATGGTCCTCTTGGAGAATGAAGGACAAACAACGACAACAATAACAATAGAAGGGAATCTTCACTCTTCTATCTGCCCTTGCAATCCATCCTTTTCACATACATCAGACCTTTCTTCCTTATATAGTATTATTATCCCTCTGCTCAGAAATCTTCCCTTTCCCGCTCAGAAATTTTCAGCTACTCCCTAGATGGCACAGTGGGATAGAGGGCTGAGCCTGGTGTCAGGAAGATCTGAGTTCAAATCTAGCCTTAGACACTTAATAGTTGTGTGACCTTGGGCAAGTCACTTAATGTCTGTTTACCTCATCTGTAAAATGAGGATGATAAAGCAGGGTTGTTGTAAGATCAATTGAGATAATAATTATAAAGTGCTTAGCATAGGGCCTGGCATATAGTTTGCGCTATATAAAGGTTAGTTATTGTTGTTGTTACCAAGTTAAGTTTGCATTCATTAGCCTGGCATTTGAAGCCATTTACAATCTGGTACTACTTTACTTATGTAGACTTTACCTTTGCTTGTTTACTCTATTGCATTCACAAGGTATAGTGGAAACAGTGTTAGCTTTATGGCCAGATGACCTTGCTTTGGAATCCTGGTTCTGCCACTTACTATTTGTGTGAGTTCAAGCCAGTCGTGTCATCTCATCCTCCTCTTCTGTAAAATGAGGAATTCAGACTGGAGGACCTCTAAGGACCCTTCCAGCTCTAAATCTGTGATTCTAGCGACCTGAACACACCCTGTGCTTTCTAGCCTCCATGCTCTGTGTGGGCCCTGGGCCTATTCCACTTCCCACCTGTTGAACTCTTAGGTATCCTTTAATGCCCAACTCAGATGCCATCTTCTCCTTAAAGCTTCCCTTGTTCCCCCCAGTTTGTGACACCCTTTCCTCCTTTGGGGACCCAACATAATGTTTTGCTTCATACATATCATTGCCCCCAAAACATTAACTGCTCAACTTCTGTAGTCAAAAAACCTGCCGTACAGATGGCCTTTCCTAGGCATTAGTGTGATCCAGACATTAGTTTTTCTGTCTCTTTGCTGCCTTTTTCATTAGTTTTCTTTCCTCATCCTCATTTCCTCAGAGTCCTATACTTTGCAGTAATATACTACAGTAATATACAGAATCCTATACTTTGCAGGGCAACTCACAGATATTCCTTGTAAGTCATCCAAAGTGGAAAAAAGGATGAATCTGTCTATTCCCAGGATTGCATGTGGAGATGATTCCATTTTGTGCTGTGGGAGAAGATGAATTAATGTGGGGCCTTGCAGCTTAACCAGGAGTCCTATCATAAGCAATAGGACCTTGACACCTAATTTCCTAAAGGGGATAGGAGTGGGAGTGGGAGGTGGGGAGGAGAGATTATGATCCCGGTGATCAAGTAGGAATCTTGATTAGTCTGCAGCTGTTTGCAATCTACAGTATAATAGCCATACCTTGAGAGGTCAATGTAGCTGATAGACTGCTGTTGTGCAGGGATCCCTTTGTACAGGGTCACACCTTGAAAGAAAACATTGCATAGTCCAGGAAACTATAAAACAGCCACTGAGGCTAGTAAATTATGGCCTTACCAGGTGTGCACTGTATAAAGCCATTTCTGCAACAGCCTCAGAAGCTTCAGGCACAAAACATGACAAGTTAGGATAATTTGTAAGGAGCTCTAATTTGAAATTCCATAGCTGGGAATGCCTTGGTCCAAGAGTCAGTTTCAGCTTTGACCCAAAGGTCTTGATTCATTCCAGAATGGTGCTAGAGAGCCCAGAGTATTGGCTATGGCCTGGTCCTGGGTCATACCTAGTTATCTTGTTCCCTAGAAAGTCTGTGTCATTCTGGGAATACAAGGAATATAAGGGGCTACTTTAGAGAACCAGGCATGTGGTTCATCCCTTGGCTCTAAATCTTCCCTGGAGCACATCCAAATCAGCATCAGCCAGAATTAGCCAATTCCAGAAGTAGAAT